ATATATATATAGGGGAGAAAGAGTGCATGTAAAGTCCTACAAATATTATGTATTATGAATGGTTTTATTATTTTTATTTTAAGTTTCTTAGAATTTAAATAATAATTAATTTTTTGAATAGTTTAAAAAAATTATGCTTCAATTGCTTAAACATATTAAAATACTTAAATTTTGTGACTTTTTAATAAACTTCTTTGCTTTTTTTGGCTTTTGCTTCTAACATTTTCCAACATCTATTATTTTCCTTGAAGCTAATTTTTACAGATGGCAGCACTGAATTTCAAATTACTATATTTTAACAACTATATTATACGATGACAGATAAAAGCTTAATCTTTGTTATATTTTCTTAAGCATATTTATTAACCGTTGTATTAGTTAATCTATTTTTAACGCTGTTTTTATCTCACTTTTTATCGCTAAGTTGATTTTCTTTAATTCCTTCAATTTGAACTCATTTACAATTACGTTATTAATTCGTTTGGTGTTTGAAGCATCGATTCATCATAAACAGTAATTTTTTCTTAGGATAGTTATTATTTTTTTGAAATGCACATTCGTAAAGGAATGCATCCTAAAAAGAACGTTTAGATTAGTTCCATCGTTCTATTAAGTTTTTATTATATTTCTAATTCTGAAACGCATTACATTTTTATATATATAAAATATATAAACTGATTAAGAAGATTCATAAATTCATAAGCAGAGACTCAATCGAAATGAAAATATAAATCGACAAATAAATATTTTTTTACAAATACATGATATTAGAAATTGGACGTACTTGTATCGAATTCCCGTGGCCGGAGAAAGCGATATTTGTCTGCTGGGTGGCAATGTTCTCGATCCATCACTAGTTGCTGAACTTTCATCTATGCACTCTAAACTAGCGATAGGAGCTAGGCTGAAAAAAAAACGTTCGATTAGAATTAAAGATACACGGAAATGTTACATTAAAACGGGATAAAAATAGCAGGGTAAGGTCGATTATATTGTTTATCGATAACACATTTCAGACAGCTGCGGAATCGATGGCACATTTTTTTCGCCTTTACATCGATTGTGAAGCTGACTTTAGGATAATGGTTTATCCATAGATCCTGTCGAGTGAAAGATTTATTTAATTTTGTAATTTAGTGTCACAGAAATGAACATAAAAACTAATGGAGTTTTTTTTATAAATATTTTACAAAGCGATATCTTAGAGTGAATAAGTTAAATTTGTCAATAATGTTTGTGAAAACTATGTTTTCGAAAACAATGAGATGTTCTGAATTGAAAACTCATTTTAGTGAAAAGAAAAAATCTTTGTTTGAGGACAGACTTTATCGTTTTTAAATTATGAGAACTACTATCACAAATACTTCATGTTAAGTTTACATCAGAGATATGTAGCATGCTCTCTGCTATGATAAATTTATAATCTAAGACATCATTGTCGATGATAATAAAAAGAAAACAATGCAAACGATGCTATTTGAAAACAAAGCTTTCCAAATACTACCATTTGTAGCAATAACGTGGCACAGTTTGCGCACAAATTTTATCTATATGATATATCATTAAATTTAAGCTAATATAATAAAGTACGATATGTACCAAAAATTACAGTCAACAATAAAAGAAAGCAATGCAATTGATCTTATTTGAAAACAATGTTTTATTGAAATGAAAACAATTATGAAACAAAAATGAAAACAATTTTTATTCTATGATGTTTTAGTAATGTAAAGCTAACTTAATATAACACAGAGTGTCCTAAAATGATTTTGAACTACAGCAAAAAGATAAATGATGTTATTTGGAAAACAATGCCTTCTAAATATACCTATTTGCAGTAATAATATGGAACTGTAAGTTTGTATAAAGTCAAGAAAATGTAAGTCAGCAAATTAAATTACCATGTGTCCTAAAATTTATTGTCAACAACAACATCAAAACCAAACAACGCAAATGATATTATTTTGAAAACAATGCTTTTTATATACCAAATTTGCAGCAGTATTGGAGCACAGATTGTATACAAAGTTTAATTCTGTGATATTTTGATTCTGTGATATTTTGTTAACATAAGATACCGAGTGTCTTAAAAATTACTTTCAACAAAAAGAAAACAAAGCAAATGATGGTATTTTAAAAACAATGCTTTACAAAAATCGCCATTTGCAACAATCATGTGCGGGAAAAATTTAATCGCTGCAGACAGAAATGGTTTCAGGCTAGTTAATTACTTTTAGAGAAAACACCCAAACTCTCTTGAAAATAACTAATTTTCGCTTTTCTAATATGGTAAAAACGCTGAAAAAAAAACATTGGGTTTATGATGACACCAATCGACAGAGTTATCCGTTCACGAACTTGGAAACTAAATTTTAAATATTGTGAGAATAAATCCTCTTGTTACCTAATCAGAAAGCCACAAACCATGTATTTATATATTTTTTAACTTGATTTTTCAAGCTAGCGATCATTCTTGGAATACAAGATATGCATTTAATTAATATATAAATGTATTGCCACTCCTTTTACAATAACACTTTCCGTATCAACCGTATTTAAAATAAGTCCGACTATAATGGGTTAAGAGCTAACTAAACCATTTTTTTACGTTGGCATTTTCATTTTTTTACGTTGGCAATCTCTAAAACTATTTCCGTTTTCTTGCCAGTGATTGGATTAACGAAATTTTATACTCATCTTTATACAACTGACCCAATTTAGTGTATACGACTGATAATGTTCAATGCCGTTACTTTGGAAACTCTATTCAGAAGACAAGGGAACATCTGGATGAAGTATTGGGAGAAATATTCGTTGACGATTTTTTAATGGAAACCCACATTTGCATTACATGGAGAGGGAAATCACGAAATCCTTCCACAGTTAGCCAGACGGCAAGAGGACTCTAACCCATGATCCGTCTACCACTGAGGAGGGTCTATTCAGAAGACAAGGGAACATCTGGATGAAGTATTGGGAGAAATATTCGTTGACGATTTTTTAATGGAAGCCCACATTTGCATTGCATGGAGAGGGAATCCACGAAATCCTCCCATGGCTAGCCAGACAGCAAGAGGACTCTAACCCATGATCCGTCTACCACTGAGGATATATTACGAGAGAGCAGTATATGGTGCAAGCCGGCTGCTGAATTCGTATCAACCAGCTTCCGCTGGGATTCAAACGCGGATCATCTCATTGTAAGGAGCAAGCGCTCTATCCCCTGAGCCACCACGGCTCAATATACAACGTAACGTTGAAAACGCAAATATCTTACTATTTACTAATAGTGAAACTACATTGATTCTGTAAATGAAAGACAACGCTCACATATACAATGATTCATATGCAATGCTCACATATACAATGATCTGTATACAATGATTTCAGAGCTTGGTGAGAGCATTTCAATGGATTGTACCTGATATTTGATTGAAAATGTTACACTTTTACTTCTAAGATGATGCAACAGAATATTTTCTTTAAAATGAGGTTTAAGAGATTTCTGTAAACAATAATTTTATTCTTTCTCACCAATACTTGCATTGCTAATATTTCCAAATATGAGTGCGAAGCATTTTGATGAATGTTATTAAGCAAAAAGCACTTTGCAGCATACGATTAAGAAAGTGATTTAAAATTTATAAATACATAACATTCAGAGCAATACTACCTAATTTCATCTTAGCTTTCATCAAAAGATACATGAGAAAGATGAGTCGACAGGCCTTAAGAGAGGCTAATCTCAAATTAAACCCTTATTTCAAATCTAACTACATATTTAACCAATACCATTTAGGAAAAAGCTCATCGATTTGCGCCTTATGAATGCAGAGTAATACAACCAAACGTCATCATGGCTTTTATCCGAAGATATATTAGAATGGCGAAAAGATAAATTTGTAGCTTATAAATGTAGAGCAAAATACCGCCAAACGTTATCATGGCTTTCATCCGAATACGTATTAGAATGGTGAACAGACAGGCAGTTAAAAGTGGCTAGTTTCAAATAAAACCCATATTTCAAAAGAAACCACATATTTAACCCTTTCTAAGGCCGTGGCAAGTATACCTACCACCATTTTTTAAAGTCCGTGGGGAACTTTTTTATCAATTTCAATTTAGGTTTCCATTTGTTAAAAACTACAGCTTTCTTGAAGTGCGTTTTAATAAAATTGGTAACCATTTTTTAGTTTAAAGAAAGTAGAAAAAGTTAAAAAATACATAATTCCTCTTGAATTTTGTAGCATTTATGAAATTTATTTTATAAATATCGAAAAATAAAAGTCAATGAGTTCTTAATAGGTCGTGTTAATATACTTACCACCAAAAAAAAATTGCATTAAAATTTAGATTAATTTTTTATAAGCTAAATGAGTTTTTTTTCCTTATATAAATTAGTATTCTTATATCAATTTCAATTTCAAAAATACTTTATTTTACCTTTACTAGAAATAAATGGCCCATTAAAGGGTTAGGCAATTCCATTTAGAAACGCTTCTTTCTCATTCGCTGGTTCTGAAAGGGTCAAACAATTCCAATTAGGGAAAAATTTGAAGTAAACGGAAGGGAAATTGAGGAGTTTAAGAATCCTATGTATCATCGGCTCTACGTACATTGAGTTCACATATTTCCTTTTGAAAATATTCCAAATATAGTTCCAAAACTTAAAGTAAGTATACACAATATATTTTATGTATTTCATTTTTTGGTAAGTATGCACAATATATTTTATGTATTTCATTTTTTGGTTAACGCATACTCTAAAAAATAAATGTTTCAAGACATTCCTAAAAATGCTTCCCTTTAAGGGAAATAAAGAGAAAAAAAAGAAAAAAAGAAACCTATAAAATTTTATTACTATATGTAAATTATACCTAAAAGAACAAGAAATGTATAATTTCTTTCTCAGCCTGAAATCTCAGAAATATTTTTTATTGTCTAAAACATCTACGTATAAAGTAAAAACCTCTAAAATTACAAATTTAATTCACTGTTACAGGCATTATTTTTTTTCAAATGTTTCATTAAATGCTTAATCATTCTAATTTTGTTATCAAATTCTACGCGAACATAATTTTATTTTACTTCATTATTATAATATTAGAAAATCATTAGAGCTACTTACATGGCTCTTAGGAAAAGCAATAGATTTCAAAGTTGAACTAAAGTCTTTTCAAGTATCCTGAGACAGAATTTAGCATTTAAAATTATCGTAAACTTAATAAATTTACCATTAGTTTTGATACGCTTTACGACCAAATATCATAAAAGGGAAAAATTCTATGAATAATTCTAAATAGAGCCAGAAAATGCTATTTTATGTATTTTAATAGCGATTTGTTGCAATTTATTAATTATTTATGAAATCCGACTAATTATGATTTATTTTATATTTAATATTTAAATTGCAATTTAATTTGTGTCGAAATAGCTAATTTTCATTTATTAATTTTGAATCTCCTCGACAAAATATAATGAGTTATAAGAGTTTTATCAAAAACATTCATTTATAAAAAACATTTATCAACTAACTGTGAAAAGCAATATCTTAAAAATTTAAAATGAATTTTAAGAAACTTTCCGTGAATTTCTTAAACAATTCGGCATGGAAACAAGTGTTACATAAATGGATTTATTAAAATAACATTTATTTTAAATGTTCTTAATAAAACCAAATGAATTAAAAATGTTTTTCTTTATAGAAAACTGTGTTAAGCAATAAATTAAAACTCTTTAATTTAATAAATTAAACTCTTTTTATGAAATTCTAAAACCAATTCGACTTGGAAGCATGTGTTAAAGTGTTCAATTTGTTAAAATCACATTTATTTATTTTTTAAAGTTTATTGATAAAATCAAATGAATTATAATGGTTTTTGTGCATAGAAAACTGTGATAAAC